CAATGTTTTCACCTGGTAGCAATTCCAGGCGAAGCGATAGCTAAGGTTATGTAATTGTTTGAGGTCCGAGGCCGAGGTCGACAAAGAACTCCAGTCGTTTCTCTCTGTGCCAAATGACGACAATGGGAAATGCCCCGTGAAGCCAAGTTCTTATCCACTTGGGCTCTCCCTCTTCCTCTGCTACCATCAGCGGATTGCGAGTTTAATACTTTCAGAACTGGAACGTCGCTTCCCATTCGAACGACGTGGCCAAGCCAGCAAAACCGCTGTAATTTCATTCGATATACTATGTCCACTTCGTTGTAAAGCTCATACAACTCATCGTCTGCGGTACTCCCGTCGCCAACGCGCAGAGGCCTGTAAATCTTCCCTAAGATCTTTCTCTCCAATACTTCAAGAGCCGTCTCGTCGAATGTTGTCATTGTCGAATCTTCTGCGCCATATACTAGCATGGTCATGATGAGTGACTTATAGAGTGTGGTTTTTGTACGTCGAGAGAGAACTTTACTCCCGAATTGCCTATTTTTCCAAAGTTGCATTTGTTGGCTAGAGTGATTCTGCATTGGATTTCCATACTGACATTATTATCGGTGTTAATGCTGGTTCCCAAGTAAACGACATTCTCTACTTTCTCGATATTACAACTGGCAACAGTAATGTGGGTGTCAAGGCGGGACTGCTCTGACTCTTTGTTTGATGACAGGAGATACTTCGTCTTGTCTTCGTTGATCACCAAACCCAATCGCTTTGCTTCTTTACTCAACTTGGAAAAGGCAGGACAGACTTCGACGTTTTTGTTACCGATGATATCGATGTCATTGGTGTACACCAGAAATTACACGCCAGGAGTTCACAATAGTAATTGTAATCATAATCATAATAATATTATCTGATGTTATTCAAAATTTTTTTACTCGCAATACACTTAGGCCAAAAACATAGTGGGGCGAGCGAAGCATCGAGCAAAGCGTTGATTTCAAACGCATATGTTTCAATGGGGTAGCCATATATCTAATACTTCTATATTGATAGTAACGTATCTTCACTATGTGTTTTTATTCCGCAATCAAAGGGAGACAGCCTATCAAATAAATGTTTGCTTGTGTTAGTATAAATGTATATTTGTGAACTATTACAAACAAACCACTGTCAAGTCACTCCAGGAGCGGTTTAAATTACAAATATTAAAAAAATAGAAAAATAAAATAACCAAATATTTTTTCCTGAACGTGATTGGGGCGAGCTTTGTGGTAACCGGCGGATTTGAATAAGCCGTAAGAGATATATAAGTTACACTTGAGGCGATTACCATAACCACTCTTAAAAGATAGGATGAGAGGATCCGTGCCCTCCATTCCAGAACCTTAGCCAGCATGTAGCGTCTGCCCGTTTTCCCTGATACGGCTCATTTTTAAGTAAATAGTATAACATACTGACGCGTGCAACACGATTCCTTTTTCCTTACTTTTTTTTCAAAAGTTAAACACAATTTTTTTGGCTTTAATTAATTAAATTAAAATTTAATTTTCCAAAATTTTGACGATTACTGCACCGCTCCTGATTTTTTATTCTTTTCAAATGTCATTCTGAGTACATTGGTTGGTTGGTTTTCTCGTTCTATCATTATATATCTGCGGATGTACTTTTAACGTACTGCCAATATAGAAGTATTACATATATTGGGAGAGCGTATAGTGAAGAGCAAAGCGTACACACACTTTTTTAATTGAAGTTTTACTCGATGAAAGCTCTTCGCTTCAATTTTAAGTTTTCATTATTTCATTTCACGGGATATTTTTATGTTTTCGTTACGCTTTTTATCATTTCTTCATTTATATCCGTAACTTTTTATTA